TAACATGAATGATTGGGTCGAAGGTTGATTGACATAAATGGTTGGGCCAAAGGCCGTTTTGACACAAATGAAAGTTTGACATGCATGAATGGGCCAGAGGCCAGTTTGACATGAATGAATGGACCAGAGGCCAGTTTGACATGAATGAAAGATAAATGGGCCAAAGGCCAGTATGTTTGGAACCACAGTCACTTGATTTAAATTGTGTATATATATATATATATTTTTATGTTAAATAGAAATATGAATTGGGCCCAAGGCCGTTTGGAGCATGTTGTTCTATATACCGTTTGAATAACTCTTTTATTTGATATTATTCACTGGGCTATCGCTCATGCCCATTCATGTGTTTGTAGGTGAGCCAAGAGAAGTCCAAACCCAGCCTCAGTGAATTCTGTGTAGAACAACTAAAGTTTTGAAGAGTCAGCCCTTACGTCTCACGCACGAGACACGTCTTCGCCTTTTTGCCATTCTATTCTATTTTCCATGTTGGCAAGGACTTTGGTTTACAACTGTGTTTAGTTTTGTTTGGCTGACTTAGATTTGAATGATCCCGTCTGTACAAAACTTTATGTTACTGTACTTTTTGTTGTGAGTTATTAACATATGTATGTATGAAATGTTATGATGTGCATATAAGTACAGCTCTATGGACAAAGTTTTAAATTTGCTTCCGTTTGGCTCCTTTACTCTGATGAGTTTTGTCTTATCTGGTTTGAGGCCGTAGGTAATCTCGTGATTACTGGCCGGTTATGGCCTTAACCCATAGGGGCGGGTTCGGGTCATGACAGAAAGCGTAAAGAAGGTTTGTCTTCTAACTTGTTGATGGCACAATCTTCACCACAACCACAAAATAATTCTCACACACCATTCAACAAGAAAAAGACTACTTCTTTCACAAAAAAAAAAATGGAAGAAGGGATTTCAGAAATGATGAAATAAACACCAAGAATGGCAAAAACAACATCACAAGCATCAGATTGCCCCATGTTACAATTGCAGTAAAAAAGGTAATATCAAAGCCACTTGTTCTCAGAAGAAGCATAAAAAGGATCATAACCCTATTGCCATGACAGTTTCTGAAGCAATGGTGCTTAAACCTTCAATAAATTTATGGTGGATTGTTTCTGCTGCAACTAGGCATATTGTGCAAAATAAAGACATGTTCGTGAAGTATACTGAAAAGAAGATTGGTGAACACAAAATCTACATGCGCAATAACTCCTATAGTGATGTTTTGGGAATCGACAACTGTCAATTCTCTATTAATGGAACTTTCTTTGTGCTTTATGTACCCAGCATTTGCCGAAATTTAATTTCAGTTCCGGTGTTAACCCAAAAGGATTTTGAGGTTAATTTTAGGTTTAACACAGTATTGATTAAGAAATGAAGTGTATTAGTGAAAGGTGTAAGAGTGAATGACATGTACTCTCTTCCTATTGATAATAATAAAGTCTGTATTTCTGATTATTTGCATGTTTCTACTAGTAATAGTTCTTATTTGTGGCATTTAAGGTTATGTCACATTAATAAAAATAAAATGTCTCAAATGTTTAAAAGTGACTTATTGCTTAAAGTATGTTCTGATGATTTTGATATATGTTAACCATGTATCAAAGGCAAAATAACTAGGAAGCCATTTTTCAAACATTGGAAATTATCGGAATTACTCGAAATAATTCATTCGGATATTTGTGGCCCTTTAAGAACTAAAACTCATCGAAGCATGACATACTTTATTACTTTCACTGATGATTATTCAAGATATGGACATATCTACCTTCTTAAACACAAATCAGAGACAATTGAAAAGTTTAAGGAATATAAATTAGAGGTAGAAAAGCAACTTGGTCAGTCCATTAAACACTTGAATAATAATCGAGGTGGCGAATATGAAGCTATGGATTCTTTCTGCAAGGACAATGGCATAAAACATTTGTTTACAATGCCATACACACCACGACAAAATGGAGTCGCAGAAAGACGAAATCGTACTCTAATGGAAATGACAAGGTCTATGATGGCTCATGCTGATCTTTCTATTCATTTTTGGAGGAAAGCTTTGTCCACCGCTGCATACATATTAAATAGAGTCGAAACAAAAGCCAAACCTCTAACTCCTTACGAATGCTGGCATGGTACTAACACATTTTTTTTGTATTTTTCACTAAATTTGCACAAATTGCATAATTTCGGTTGAGTGCAAATGAATATACTATAGAACCTACAATTGGAATCTGCTGTGTTAAAGCAGTGTGGATCCTAGCAAATAATTGGAATCAATCATGTAATTGTATTTGAGATGTTAATACTTACACGAATTCTATTTTTAATTGTGCTAAGAATTAGAAAATTGACCATAAAAATGAAAATATAGATAACTCAACTAGAGAAACAGTAAATGGTGGATTGGGTGAGATTTTGCAACACGAAACCAGGGAATCATGAGATAAGTGGGAGTAAGAGAGAGCAAGACATCCATCTATGTTTCTGAAAGATCATTATGTTTTTCAAATTGAAGAATTTAATAACTTAATAGATGATCCTACTAGTTATAATGACGCAATAAGTAGCAGTGATGTTATACAATGGCTTGAGCCAATGAATGAAGAACTTGACTCGATCAAGAAAAATGATATTTGGGAATTAACTGATCTCCCGAATGGAGGAAAAGCCATTGGTTACAAATGGGTTCTTAGAAAGAAATTCAAAATAGATGGAAGTTTGGAGAAATACAGGGCCAGGTTAGTAACCAAAGGATTCACTCAACAACCTGGAATAGATTTCGTAGATACATATTCTCTTGTTGCAAAATTTGCCTCAATAAGGATTCTAATGGCGGTACTAGCCAAGATGGATTTGGAATTGCATCAATTAGATGTTAAAACAACTTTTCTCAATGGAGAATTAAAAGAGGAAATTTATATGATGCAACCTGATGGTTTCCAGAACCAAGGCAATGAGGATAAAGTCTACAAATTGAAAAAAATCTCTGTATGGACTTAAATAATCTTCAAGACAATGGTACTTGAAATTCCTCCAAGCCATTTTAGAAATGGGCTATGTTGTGAGTCCATTAGATCACTGTGTTTATATCTGGAAAAATGATGATAAGTTAGCAATATTGTCTTTATACGTGGATGACAAATTGTTAGCAGAGAATTGTCCAAATATGATTATAAAACCAAAATTTTCTTGCCATCTAGATTTGATGAAAGACATGGGTCTTGCAACCTATGTTCTAGGAATTAGAATTTCAAGAGATAGAAAATCAAAATTATTATATCTAGATCAAGAGAAATATCTAGACATGGTGCTCAAAAGATTTAATATGGATAATTGTAATTTTTTAAGCACGCCTGTTTGCAAGGGACAAAATCTTAGAAAAAGTATGAGTACTCAAAGTAAGTCTGACGTTGAGGAAATGAGAAATGTTCCATATGCTCAGGCAATAAGCAGCCTAATGTATGCTATAACAAGCACAAGACCTGACATCTGTCATGCATTCGGATTGGTAAGTAGGTTTCAATCCAATCCAGGTAAGGAACATTGGCAAACAGTCAAAAAAAGAATATTTAGATATTTAAAAGGCACTAAAAATTTGAAGTTATGTTTTGGTTTGTGTGATCTAGACATAAAAGGATACACTAATGCGGACTTGGCAAGAGATGTAGATGATAGAAAATCTACTAGTGGTCTTGTGTTCTTGTTTGGTGGAACAGTAGTTTCTTGGTTAAGTAAGAAACAGAGTTGTGTTGCAAAGTACACTATGGAAGTTGAATACATAGCTTGCAGCACAGCCGTGAGTAATACGGTCTGGATAAATCGATTTGTTGACAGTTTACAATTAGATATGCCTGCAAACCGATCAATATGTTTTGTGACAATTAGTCCGCCATCTCATTAATAAAAAGTGGAGCGAATAGCTCTAAGGGAAAACATATTGATGTAAGTTACCACTATATTTAGGACATAGTGGAGGGATGTGAAATTAAAGTCAACTATATACCCTCAGAAGAGATGGTGGCCGACCTTATGACCAAAGGGTTGTCTCTAGAAAAATTCAGAGAACATGTAGCTAATATGGGATTGAAAAATGCCTAGCTATTTGATTTAGCTACTTATATAAGAGCATAGTCGGATGACTTTGGGGACGCCTAGATAACCGATGTTTTGCAACTCTATCTTGCATGGAAACATGTGTTTGGTCAGGTAATCAGACAGAGGAATTGACAAGGTACGGACATCATAGTTAGCATGAGATGTAAAGTCCATGATATGCAATGTGCTAACGAGATGATTTTGTCTGCTTGATCAGCAAAAAATCGTTGATAAGGTGTGTTAAGGAAAACCTTCAGAAATGGGCCTTAGAGGAAGTACTTAACAAAAATTTTGGTGCAAGCCGACACATGAGGAATGTGTGCTGAAGTCTTCAATGGTGATTGGGTATGGACTACGAACCCAACACTGAAAATTGATGTTGTTCATTTGAAATATAGTGAATTGAAGGTATCTGGAATATGTTGTCAGTGGGAGAACACATTCACACGGGGGCAGTCAGATTGGTGGCAAAAACGTGCACACATATGGCCAAGTCACGATCGGACATCAATCTATGAGGTACATTCATAGATGAAAGTTGGCATGAGGCAAAAATTTGGTACCAAGGTAAACACGTCCAACTCAGGTTTTATCACTAATATTATAATGTGATCAAATGGAAAATGAAGGCATGAGAGATGATCACACCATAATATGGTGAACTCTCTCACACCAAATCTATATTTATATGGCGGTCTACAAACCTTCCCGCTAGATGAAAAGAATAATGTCGAAGTTGGTTTGAATTTAAGCACTAAAGCATTGTGTCTATTTGTAACAGATAATGACTCTTGGTAAAGGTAGTCAAGGTTTGTATAAATAGTTGGCAAAGAGGGTTCTATTTTGCATTGAATACCAACCTACATTAAGACCAATTTTTGTCTCCGGATTATTCCATCTTGCGTGATAAACACCCTTACGGGTATTCCGATCAATTGTCATTGTCAAGTTAACCTTACAATCTCACCATGAGATCACAATCATCCAAAACATAGGATGTTGATTTTTGGCCACTAACAATTACATGAATTAAACTTGAATGTTAAAATGCAGAGTCTCATCACCTCGACTGAGTGAGAAAGTTGACTTGGCAGTTCTATTCCCATATGAAACAGTTATTTGATATTCACCTAAAAAACCATAGAAGCTATATGAACCATACACATCTGTCTGAATCTGACCATCCTCTTCATGTTCAAACCCAGTTCGCCATTCTTTCAAGAGCTTGTCAACAACATTGCCAGCTGGAAGGTTATGAAAGTCGTTATCAGTAAGACACATTTGGTAACAATACCCATTTGGGTGGAGAGCAGTCCATAGCATAATCCCATTTACAGAAGGATGTGAAAAGCCTTCTCTCAATACTTGTTCTAGATAAACACCCTGCGAAAGACGATAACAAGAAAAGAAAAGAAAGTTAGCCACAAAATTGCAACACGTCATCAGAATTCAAAATCAACTGAATATATATATATATATATATAACTACCACGTCAATATAAGTTTTAAAAAACAATTCTTATTTGTTGGCTGGCGCGAGAGAAGGTGGTGTGCCAGCAGTGACGGAGGTTTGCAGAGAGGGAAGAGAAAAGACAGGAAAGGAAGAGAAGAGAGAAAGGAGAAGGGGTAGATTTATAATTTTATAGATTATCCCCTTTTTATTTGCAAATTTTGTGACTTGTCATGTCTAATGTATTTTTTTTCTTCCGTCAAATTGTAATTATTTGTGTACATCCCATTTTTTTGTGGTTATCCCTATATGTTACTCTTTGGTGACAATAAATCAAATGATAAACATAAATATCATTTCTCAGTGAAATTATCAATTAACTATCATTAAAGCTTCCTCACCTGTGTTTCCTTATCAATTGTGCTGCTAATATCAACCTCAGTAAGCCAAATAGGAAGTTCCAATGTAGCCAACTTGTCAAGAACAGCTCTCATCAGAGCAAGATTTGGCACTGTAAAATGAGCCTCCAATCCAATCCCATCCATTGACACACCACCTTGCTTGAGTTCTCTCAACCTCGAAATATAATCATCCACAGTGGAACTACCATCCTCGCAAGTCTCCACCACATTAAATTCATTCATAAACAGTGTTGCCAATGGGTCCGATTCATGTGCCATCTCAAAAAAATGTAATGTGGCATTAGGCCCAAGCCTTTGCTCGTAGAAATTATAATGAAGCATTTCGTTGCTAATATCCCAATGAATGAATTCCTCTTTGTATTTGCTCATCAGGCTTTGTATGCGTGAGCTGACAGCAGATTGCAGCTCGGGACCTGTGAGATTAAGAACCCATTCGGGGGTATATTTGGGATTTTCCCAGAAGATGTTGTGCCCTCTGGCAATTATTTGGTTTGCGCGAACGAATTCTAACATTTGGTCTGGTAAGGTGTAGTCAATATGCCCCGGTTTTGGCTCTGTTGCATACCACTTGAGTTCGTTTTCAAAAACTGCTGCATTGAATCGCTCAACGAACCAGTTCTAGAGCAAATAGAGAAAGATTCAACTTGTAAAAATAAAATATTAGTGAAATTGTGTAATGCTTGAGCTAAATGAAAGTTCACCAATCTGTTGGCTATAGCATAGGTGCACAAGGTCAGCTGCTTTACTATTTGTTTTTTTTTTTATTTTTCTTGCTTTGAAAAACAAAACAACAAAAAGTTCAAAAGCCCATCATTTTCATTTTGTGCTTTTGGTATTTCTTGATAAATGGGTTATTTTCAGAAAAATTTCATGACACCAGTTCATCAAACAAGTTTTTGTGTTTTTACGAAAATGAAAATGGTACCAAACAGGCAATTGTTCAGATTAATTATCAATGCTTCATTTTTTTTCTCTTAATCTTTCATAGGCAGAACTTGTCACCTGGAAGGGAACATTTCCAAGAATGGTCTTTGCTATAGCAGATCCAAATGGAAAATCTTTTGAGACCTGCTCTACCATAATCTTTGCTCCTTGCAACCTGTCTCCATGTCCATCTGACACATGAATTGTTGCAGCACGCTTTCGTTCCTTCAAAGAAACAAGGGGGGGAAATCTAAAAAAACCAAAACAAAAACAAAAACAAAGCCGTGTATTGTTTGATGCATTGTAGAATGTACTAAAATTTTGTTTTTTTGAAGGACGAAGGGATCCCCTATGGAAACTTCAGGATTTTATGACACTTCGAAATCAAAGGCTCTAGTATTAGGACATATATTTTCAATCATGTTGTTGCAATTAAATGATGAAGCCTAAAGAACTTACTGTGTTAATTTTGTACTGTTGGTTCATTCTCCATTGCTCCTTGGTGAATGGCTGCAAAGAAGTGCTTGTAACTGTTATGTTGATATCTCTATCGTCTGAACTCTGTAAAAACAACAAATGCAAATAGTCAATAGGCTGACTCATTTTTCTTTTTCTTTCTTTCTTCTTCTTCTTCTTCTTCTTCTTCTTCTTCTTCTTCTTTATTTTTAAATTGATGAATCTTCTAAGGCTCCATTTGGACCCACTCTTGCAGAATAAGTTTTGGATAGTTGTAGTCATTCGCAAGCCACAGGTATCAATTTAACCCAAGAGATACCCGCAAGAGTCAAACACAAAACATTCGATAGTTATGTCTTGTTTCACAGTTCGCTCTCATTATCGCTAGGCTATCATGCGAGTAAGTTTGCATTTACCCACCTGAAAGTATAGTATATAGAAATTTGAGGATGAAGTTAATTCGAAGCCGCCCTTGAGAAAAGACCAGCATCCACGCTTGGCTACAACGGTCCCTATGCATTTGTAGGTTGTAATATGGTCAGCCATCAGACTTGCCCTCACAAGAGCTGACTCTGCACCATCTATCTTCACCCAACCTGTTGAGATCAAAAGATTAAACACATTTTTTTTGTATTTTTCACTAAATTTGCACAAATTGCATAATTTCGGTTGAGTGCAAATGAATATACTATAGAACCTACAATTGGAATCTGCTGTGTTAAAGCAGTGTGGATCCTAGCAAATAATTGGAATCAATCATGTAATTGTATTTGAGATGTTAATACTTACACGAATTCTATTTTTAATTGTGCTAAGAATTAGAAAATTGACCATAAAAATGAAAATATAGATAACTCAACTAGAGAAACAGTAAATGGTGGATTGGGTGAGATTTTGCAACACGAAACCAGGCCAATAATGAACTGTGCTTCCACTGTCGCCATGGAAAATCGGTTGGACATCGGGAGCACGATCTTTTAGGACCCCTCCATCGTAAAGCGGCTCCTCCGGTTGCTGTTTACACTGTTCACACCATATGAAAAGAGTCATTACACAACACTTCTTAAACCAGCAATGGCATATCTTTGCCTAAGCACCTCATTGTAACAATAAGATTGTTACTGTTTGTAAAATTATAATGTTGATGTCAATTTTTAACATTTTGCAATGTCTATTATAATTTGATAATATTGTTTTAATTGTGTAGATGTCATTTTTTAATTAGAATTCAGTATTTCTTATTTTACCTTTGTGTAAGCAGAAGAATCGTATAGAGGCCCATCTGCAGTCAAGAAAACAAAATAAATAAATAGTGAATACCCAACTAAAGAAAATAGTGAAATAGATGTGTGAATATGTGTGTGTGTGTGTGTGTGTGTGTGTGTGAGAGAGAGAGAGAGAGAGAGAGAGAGAGAGAGAGAACCATAAGGGGAGGCCAAGCAAGAGCAATAGAAAAGGAGGAGAAGCCAGAGGCAAAAGCCTTGCACACTCTTCTGCTTAGAACACATGAGTTTCTTTCAGAGACACACAACTGAATAATAAACACATTTATATATATATAGAGAGAGAGTGTGAATGATTGAGTTTAGTTTTCTGTTCTCCAAGAAAACTAAACTCATTCAATCTATTATATAAATGAACTGGGAAAGAAACTTGAGGCATAATTAAATTCCCAGGCTGTACTGTACTACTACCAAACTCAATGAGAAGACATTTATTTTTAATTGACTCGTGAGTGTCTCTTGTTTTGATGTCAATGTGAATGAATTAACGATCACCACATTTCAGACAAGTCAACTTGATGGTGTGTGATGATTTTTACTTATGTAAGGAAACAAACAACAAACATGTGCATCTCTTACTGGTGCAGTTTGAAACAAAAACTGACATCAAAGCTCTTAACCATCACAGTGATCCTGTGACTGGAAAGGAGCCTCTTCTGTGTCTGTGACTCAGAGGTGTTGTTGTTAATTATTAGTATACTGGCAAAGGATAAATGAGTCAAGTTATTTAAATTCGGCTTGAAAACTTAATAAGTTTTAAAGTATTTTAAGTTTGACTTATTTTGAATAACGATCTGATTTTGAACGAGTTTTTTACCAGTCAAATATGAGTTGAATTCGAATAACTTAATTTGTATAATACATATAAGTTTATCGAGCTGAGTAATAGATTATTTAAACTTGATTTGATAACTGAATGAATTTGAAAATATGTTCAAACTTGACTTATTTACATAATGAGTTGATCTTGATAAATTTTTAATTAGCCAAATACAAGTGAATTCAAGTAGTTTGATTTCATTTAACATGCAAATGATAACTCATACTAGAGAGATTTTTATGTATCCATAATACGATGAATTCAAAAAAGATAATAAGAAGAAGAACAAAAAAATAACTTGAAAATAAATGTATAGACTATTTATTGGTACAAGAAACTAGGAAAGAAATAGACATCCACCAATTTTTGAAGCTAAAAATGTTCTCTCTAGTCTCTATTCAAGATTCCATCACAGATTCACAGAGCCAAGTCCAAACATTTTAAGGGCTGGCTTGGGTTGCACAAGTTGAGCCCAAATTTACCTTTGCTGCAGAAATAGAAATGTTGACTGAAATCTGTATTAGAAGAATGCATTGAACTTATCTAAACAAAACAAACAAACCAATTACAATTTGGAGCTTGAGAATTATTTTAAAATTCAATTCATACACAAAGCAATACAACAATACTTCTTAGAGATGACTTAATACCAAATACTCAGCTAGGATATCACTGGGTATAAAAGTACCCATCAATCCTATATACCTATTTTCTTCATTTTCGCTTGTCGTTCTAAGCATTTACCAGTCAGTAATACTGCATACACAGAACCATGAGAACCGGCCACACCCGTCTCCAAAGAATACTGAACGGTTCTGCAAATGGTTTCTGTATCCCTATCATTAGTGTTTAGTGGACACTAGACACAGCTATTGATTTCTTCGACTTCTTGCTTGCATAAATCTTGGCATAGATGCTCTTTGTCCGAAATGCCAACAAAACATCTAAACCAAACCCTACAACGCAAGCAATAGCCATGACAATAAACACAAGCCTGTAACAGTGGGCACCGATACATGTGTTTCCCCCTCCAGCGGTAGTTGTCGCCTCTGCATCGTATAAAAAACCGGCAAGCAGGCCTGAAAAGAGGAAGGAGCCGAGGGGGAGGTTGAGGATCAGAATGTTGTAGATGAGACCATAATATTTGAGGCCGAATAATTCAGAGGCAGTCGGAACAGAGACAGCAAGACGGACACCGTAGCATATCCCAACAATTATTGAGCCAATGTATAGTGAACCAGGCAAGGCCATGGCCATCAGAATGTAACCAACAGCCATTAGAATTTGTGAAGCAGCATTCCAAAGAGGCCTTGGTGTTCCAGCTTTCCTGCAAAATAATGAAATGTGAATCATATCAGTATGAGTAGATAAATACTTATAGTACTATAACAGGATCAGTTTCTAACTTTGGTAGACATGTATTAGAATGGATCCATCAGACAAGCATAACCAAATCTCTATGTTGACATAGTGTGAATCATGATGTTATGTATTATATTGAATACTTAACCAAGATCACAAATTTCCAAATAAGGGTATTTTGGTGTTTGTCACGTGTGCTACTAATTTCATAAATATATAGTTGGGGGCGGCTATCTATATATCGCATTTGTAACCCTTTCAAATTATAGTAAAAACCATAGAAACCGTGCATACCGTGGACTTAGCCCTAGTTTTGGAATGAACCACACAAGTCCTGTGTTCTTCTATGTGCTTGTGATTTACAATTCCAATTAATTATTCTTCTTTGTCTTCTTACCTCATCAATCTTGGTCCACAATTCGTAAAAAGGAGTGAAAAGGGTATATAAGATCTAAGCAATTGATTCTCAAGTTGGTGAAATTAGAGTAATGCTAGGAACACAAAATAGATCACAGAAGTATTAATCAACTAATTAAGGTTGTCTTTGGATGTTGGAGTTGAGTAGTGATTTATTAAAAAAAATAAAAGAAAAATGGGAAAATGTGACAAAAATTTAACTTATACTTTTGTCACCTTTTCTCTACTCTTTTGCTATTACTTGAATTTTTTTTACTCGAATCCACAATCAAAACACTGTATTTGTAAAGAACTTCCTAACTTCAAACCATATGGTCCATGAATTTTAAGAGCACAAAAGGAACTAGATAGATATCCAATAAAATCCCCTGTAGGACACACTTGAAACATGGGCGATAATAATGTTTGTTTTTATCAATTTGCCCATACCATTACCATACAATCAATCCATTTGCTTTTAAAATATCAAAACCTTATCCTGTCGTTAGCAGCAAAGAAGGTGCACTATGACCTCACTATGACGTCAGTGTATGTTAATGGTAAATTGGTGTCAACAAAGTAGTTATTGTTTTTGTTTTCTGTGTTTTGCTTTTACTTTTACTTTTCTAAAAAAATATAAATGTTTTTTAAAAAAAATAGGGAAAATTAGTTTAGGGTCCATCTCCCACTTTTCGTAATGAAAGAGATCCATAATATTATTTTTTGATATCTAATGTCCCTAAACATATATCAGAGAAATTTTACTCACAGAACGTCTATTTCAATTCACATACCGGATATTCTATCACCATCCCCAACGCTAGTAAACGATAGAACCCAACCCCCACTACGTCAAAATTGGGCTTTTAGCGGCGATTTTTTACCGCTGTTAAAGGCTGTAAAACCGCCGTTAAAGCCTTTAACGGCAGTATTAATGGCGGTTTTGTTACAGCCGTTTATGCGCGTGTCGGAAAAAGTACAACCGTCGTAAAAAGGTAAATTATCGTCGTTAAAAGTCAACAAAAAACGGCGATTTTTTACCGCCGTAAATAGGTTCAAATTTTTCAAAAAATAATTCTTTCTTCTTGCACTCCCCAAGTCTTGAACCCTCAACCTCTCATCCACCCACACTAACCACTCTACCATAGCCACTCTTCATGAAATATATTCCCTAAATAAATATTTAAACATTACTTTTACTTTATTGTAAATGGTTTTGCCAGAGCTCGCCGGAGTTTCGCCGGAGCACGCCGGAGTTTCGCCGGCAAAGACCGCCGTCATAAACGGCGGTAATGATTAGGCATTAGCGGCGGTTTTGTTACCGCCGTTAAAAGTGGGCATTAACAGCGGTATTTTTAATGGCAGTAAAAAAACTGCCGTTAATGATACTTTTAACGACGGTTTTCGTTACCGCCGTTAATAGTACCTTTAACGACGGTTTTCGTTACCGCCGTTAATGCCCTGTTTTGGCGTAGTGCCCCCTCCTTCATCTTGTTCTTCAGATAACTTTTGGGTATCAATTTCCAAAACTATTCCTTCTTTTCCCTCAATAGAACCCATACAACACTCCCTATCTCTCTACCAACTCAGACCCCACTTCCCTAATATATATATATATATACTAGGGTATGCCCGTGCCTACCATTAATAGAGCAAAAAAAAAAAAATGGCAGAAGTGCACAAGTTTCTTTTCCTTCTATATATCTCAATTAGAGATCAACATCAAACCTGAGACGGCTTCTTCAGCAACTTTAGTATGTTGTTTCACTGGTTATCCTTTCACTGGTTATCCTTGTTAGTCATCTCTGAATTTGGTTAAAACACATTATGAAAACAAATTTGATAAATTCCAAAATCAGAGAAATTTGGTTAAAACACATTCCGAAGTCAGAAAAATTTGATTAAAACACATTTCGAAGTCAGAGAAATTTTCTCTGGAGATAAATCCAGAATTTCTCTAGAGAGAAATTCCGAAGTCCAGAGAAATTCTGGAAATTTCTCTCTCTTGACCAATTTTCTCTGGATCAACTTGAGAGACCTTAAACATTATGAAAATATTGAGTGTCCTTTATGCTGTAAACTCTTAATACCAGGGACCTTAAAAAAAATTCTCCCAAAAAATAACCTATTTATTAGGAGATTAAATAGTTGTTTTTAAATTTTAAAAACTGTACTCTCACGGAAAAAATTCAAAATTGTTTTGTCACAAAATGACAACAATATAAAAACAATGGAGTGTTTCAAATTTGTTTTTTTTTTTTTTTTTTAAATATTCTTCTTCAAAATCACTAAAAATGAATAGGAATGAAATGAAAACAATATATACTTACATCTTGATCAAGAACAAATATTGAGTATAATTGTCCCACTATCTTACTTCCCAAAATAAATTAAGCCACTAGAAGAAAAAAAGATTTTTCTAACATTTTCTAAATCCCGGTAAAAGTCTCAAAAACGCTAGCAAAAGTCTTTCCGGCGTTTTTCTAGATAATTTTGACAAATCCCGACAAAAGCAGTGTAAATTTTTTTTATTAATAATACTACCATGTCATATTCAATCCCTCAGTGAAGGTTAGATCCATAAAAAGAAGTTTGAAATTATAGGAGAGTACTACAGCCTTTTCTAAAGTCTTTTCCACAAAATTGACCTTTTACTTGCCATTTCTCCAGTGGTTAGGGTAGGCCTTTCTTGAAGAAGTCCTAAAGAATTTAAGGTCTCGTTTAGGAACAGGTTAATTTAGTAATTTTTTAACTATTTGACTATAAAGGTAGGTAAAAAAAACTTATATGTTTGGAATGACTTTTTGACTAATTACGAAAATGTTAACATATATTATATTATACATTATAGTGCCTTTTGTATATATTATACTATGCATTGTAGTGCCTTTGTAGGCTGTAATTGTAGTGCCTTTGTAGGCTGTAAAGAGTTCACCCACTACCACCTTCAGATGCCTTTGCATTATCTTAATGTATATTTGTATGCTTTCGGTGAGCCAGTATTCCAACTGTCTCCTTCTCCTCTCTATAAAGAGAGCGAACTTATTCTCTTGTAAAAACACATTCAATACATAAATCAATATACATAATTCATTCTCTCTGTATCTCTCTCTCAATTTATCTTACAGAAAAGATGTGCAAAAAGTAGAGAGAAAAGAAAATCTTTGACTTTTTGGTACGAGTTGTTGACTTTTTGACTAATTTAGTAACTTTTTGACTAATTGACTAAAAAATTAAGTCCCCAAACGGGGCCTAAGTCTAAAATTTTAGATATTGGTTACTTCTTCATAGGGCAACCACCACAAAGAATTAAAGTAAAAAAACACAGAAAAACACTGCCTTATTGATTATAGTATAAAAAAAAAAAATACAGTAAAAGCTGACCAGTTCATTGCTTGCTCTCACCTGTTGGATCATTAGTTACTTGCATTGCATCAGGTTAAGAATTAACAAAGAAAGAGGTCATCAATCTCAGGTCTCCCCTCTTTCCTTGGAAATTACCAACTCAACCCCCAATCTTTTACCAATTCCACCATTTTCCAATTTTCATTTTTTTTAACCAGTGATTTGACCAGTAGCTTTATTAGCTTCGAAGCAATCAAAATGCTCATACCAAATAAGATCACAAAAGTGTTTAAAATATAAAGTTTATAAATTATATCTATTTTTATATTTACCCAATTTAGATGTACTTTAAAGTAATTTAAAAGTAAAGTATACATGTGAATTTTTTTAAAAGTTCAATAAAAAAATATTTTAAAAAAAACGAAGAAAAAAACAGTTTTTGAAACCAAACAAGTTGTCTAAAACTTTTTCCTTTATAAAATTCCTCAACAAAATTAACTTTTTGACTATTTAAATTTTTTTGACTTAGTTATAAAAGTAAAATAATAAAATTCACCACTCAAAATCAATATCAATAACTTACGATTTTACATATTATTTTTAAAAAATATATATTAATCAGGCGTGTGGCACCGCTTCTTCAAGCGATGACAAATGGAAGCATCTCTAAACTTAAAAGATTCTGAGTGTTTTAAAACTCTTTCGACGGACGAACCAAGGAGGATTTATGTCAATCCCATTTCTACTTTTTAGTATTACTTATGGGTGCTGTATGGGTTCAAAAAATTTATTATGATTCTATTTTGATTATTTAAATTATTTATTTTACTAAATATAAATTGATTTTATAATCATCACATTTTCAATACATAGGATTTGATAAATAAACAAAATAAAGATTAAAACTTAATTAAAAATTTTTTTAAAAAAAAAAAAAAAAAAAAAAAAAAAAACTCAAACTTTATTATTTTTTTACTTTTTTAAAAAAAAAATATGCAAAAACAAACTTAATAGATGTGATTTAAATAAATTAATAAATTAATACATTGATTTTTTTTTAAGTTCTCGTTTTGAAATAAATTATTTTAATATTTTTTTAATTTTTTAAAAAAATATATGTAAAAAAATAAAAATTTTATAACAACTTATAATAATATTTTAATTTTTTAATTAAAATATATAATTACCAAACAAGTCCTAATTCCTAAAATAAACCTAAACCAAGTAAATATGAGATGAAGAGTATGTTTAAACTTACTTGATAAAATACTCCGAAACCGAACCCGAAATGATCCGCCCGAAGAACCCAAAAATGCTGGTGAGCGATACAAATATGGATACATCCACGTACCCGAGAGCCAGACCCATCTGCCCCATATTATTCATCACCGCCAAACCAGTCCCAACTCCGCACAGAAACGACACAAACAATACCCAGAAGTCAACCGTCCTCAACGCCTCAATTATCGTGTGATCCTCTCCGATAACCGGCGCTCTCCTCTCCACCGCCACCGCAGCCTCCGTCGCCGTCTTCTCTTTCTCCGGCATACCCAGCAACGGTTCAGTCACAACCCCCTCGAGGTCCGAATTTGATTCGGAATTAGATCGAATCCAATTCTGGGTTGCGATGTAGAGCGGGATTGAAATTGGAGAAGCTAAGAGGATTAGAAGGATGATTGCGAATGACTGAGAAATTAAACGATTGTGAGCTCCGGTGACATCGAATAGCAAGAGATAGACGGCGACGACGACGGCGACGGCGTTGATGATTCCGAAGTACCGAGCTTCTTCTTTGTCTTCGCCGGCGGTGGAGGAAGGTGGGATTTCGCGGAGGAAGAGAATGGCGGTGAGGCAGACGAGGAAGGGGACGATTGTGAGCATGAGAAGGAAAGTTGAAGGGTCGGAGGAGGACAGAGCTGTGCAGAGATCGGTGAATATGGCGGTGCTTAAACCCACATACCCTTTTAGAATCCCCGAAACGGGTCCTCTGTTTTTGCGGAAGTTTCGAATGCAGGTCACCAGCACTGCAGTGTTCATCCATGTTGTACTGTTCCCTCCCATGCACAGAAAGATACACATCTACACTCACAAATTCACAATTTCAGTCTAATTTCAATACATGAATGTATAGTGTTTTGTTAAAATGTGTGAAATGAATGAAGATGATTATAAGGATGGGATTAGTCTGATTTTAAAGTAAATTAAGAACTTGTTCGGTTCCGACGGGTCTGAATTGTTAAATTTGTAGAACCAGATCATAATAAAACTACAGAGAGGTTTGATTTCATTTGGTTTTACAATTCTATAAATTTTATATAATATATATTTTATGGTAATAAATAATTTAATAATAATTAATTTGATTAAACTCGTTAAAATTTATTAATTTTAAGATGAAAAAAATGTTTAATATTATAATAATTATTTTATATTTTAATTGTTACTTATAAAAATATTAAAACATAATAAATAAGTCATGTTTAGTAATTGCAACCAAAGTTTTGAAATTAAGAATCCAACCAATTTACACAGTTTTATCATTTTAAAAAAAATAATGTACCAATTAGTATATTAACAAATAATATGACATAATTTTAGAGATTTTAAATTTTTATAATTTATATAATAAGTGAGATCAATAATAATATAATAACACTGATTAATATATTAGTTAGTACATACAACACCACCATTTTTAAAAATTAAAATTCTAATTAATAAAAAAATAAATTAAATCGATAATTTAAACTAGTTAGAACATGTAACACTACCATTTTTAAAAACTAAAATCGTAATTAATAAAAATCAAATTAAATCGATAATTTAAACTAGTTTGATCAATTTATTGATTTCATTGATTTTTAACATAACTCTCATATGAGTCAAATATGTTAAAGGGAAATCATCAAGTGTGTATAAAAAATAATTATAAATTCGTAATAATTTTATAAATATTAATTTTATAAATATTTTTTTCCTTGAAATAGTAATTAGTAATTTCTCTTAAATTGTATATTGTGGTTACCTGCCAGTAAGGAAGAGGCTTGATTTTTTGGCTGACGACAAGCCATTGGACGCCATAACCGACGAAGCCTTCTAGGGAACCGATGAGGAGGAGGAGAGGGGTGGGGAGGCGGTCGGAGGCGAGGCCGGCGAGGAGGCCGAATGCTTTGCCGACGTCTTTGGCGACGGAGAGGTTGTTGAGTTGGAGTTGGGTCAGAGCCATGAGGGACTTGAGTGCGTCGGAGTAGTTTGAGAAGGTGTAGTTGTTGCCGGAGATGGCTTGGACCCAGACGGCGGTCACGAATCCCAGCCATTTTCCGGCTGGACTCGTCGGAGATAGTTCCAAACCCATATTGGCTTTTTTAGGAACCAAACACTTCAAAAGCAAAAGATTTGAATTGATAAGGCAATAACTCTGAAAACCAGAGAAATAGACAAGAGAAGGTGACTTCCAAGTTAGAGTATGCAATGTGAGCCGTTATTTAAAGCGGAATTAACTGTCTAGTGGATAGCAAAAAAAATAGCATTTGCCAAACAAGGCCTAAGAAGCCTGTTTGTTTTCAGAAATAGAATAGAGGAGATTGATAGTTGAAATAAAATGGAAGGGATTGATAGTAAGGAAATTAAGTAAAATTATGTTTGTTTTGATAATAGTTGATAGTGTAAGGATTGTTAAATTATTTTTATGCAAAATAATAAAACAAATAAAAAAAATACAAAAACATTAAACATTAATGTTTTTTTTAAAAAAATGGACATGTAAAAAAAAATTATAAAATAAAAATAAAATAAAAAATTTTCAGAATAAAATAAAATAAATAAAATAATGATTTTTACTTAACAAAAAATACAAAATATTAAATATTAATGTTCAAAAACAAATGCCCGACGTGTAAAAAATAAATAAATAAAAAATTTTCTAGTCTGTCAGACTATTTTTTTAATACCAAGTCCTGGAAACTCATTCGAATCTCCTTGAGGAGACCCACCCTAATCCGGAGCTTACTATCAATTCCCTCTTCATCTCTCAAAATAAACACAATATTAATGCGTCTCACCTCACTACCAATCACAATCACCTCTCTAACTCTCCAAACAAACGAAGCCTAAAAACACTGAGACTCACTTTATAGTATTATAATTGTATTTTTTTATTATTTGCACAAACAAATGAGAGAATGAATCATAAAATACTTATAATTACTGCTTATTATGTGTGTTCTGTGACTTGTTTATGAATAAAAATACTCTATTTCAAAAATTATATTTCTTTCTTAAATTTAATAGTGTGGCAGTCTATTAAAATATATGAAGTAATTTTTTTTAATATTTTAATTCCCATTCAATCATTTTTATTATATATCACTAAATTTAAAAAGTGATCTTATATAATATTTTTCTTTATTTATGCGCAAATATATTTTTATGAGGTCTTTAACACAACCAGTACTTCGTTGGGAAGGGATGATCCATGCTGAAAGTAAAGTAAAAAAATAAAATATATTTGTTAATAAATATAAAATATATATATATATATATATATATTTAAAATTTATTATTAAAAAAAGGAATTCAGACTCCACCCAGCAATGGGTCCCACGTGGGATTTTTTTTAACATTAGTGAAGTATTTTATTTATTTATAGGATAAATTACAGATACTTTTATTTATTTATAGGGCATATTTGAAAAAGATTCATGTTTTTAACACTTTCACCCCCAATTGAAAGCAAGCCCTACATGAACACTAATTAGTAATTATAATTCACCTAATAACTATGTATGCATGGATGTGTGTTATGAATGATGTATATTTCTTATTACTAGATTAAGCGAATTTCATGTTAAAATATAGATAAAAAAAATTCATTTGTTTTTATTCAATGAAAATACGTAGCACTCCAAAGTTATAGTCTCCTTATTTGGAATGGACAACAGGTGTAGCAACTCAAATTTTTAATTATTCCGTAGAATTTATACTAATATTATTTAATCTCAGTTAGGAAAATATATAATTTATTATATATTATTATGTATAATTTTGTAAAATAATATAATTATTAAAAGTTTAGGGATCAAAATATAAATAAATAATTAATTTACCGTTGGTATACGATAAAGTGTAATTTAATTAGGAATTAAATTATTTATATAATTATATTAAAATATTGGGCCAAAGTGTAATTATTTTAAATATCTATTAAGGATAAGATAAATTAATGAACGAATCTGCCGAATGATTTGGACCGGCCACGTGTTGGCGAGAGAATGATTTCTCCTCCCTATTTAAGGAGAAGCGGGTTCACCTAGGCTAGAGAAAAAGAATGAAAAGGAAAAGAATGGAAAAAGAAAGAAATGAGAGAAAGAAGGAAGAGTGAAAGAAAGGAAGAAAAAAAAATGGCAGTTAAAAGGGTTTTTAGTAGTGAAAAGAAAGAGTAAGGCATTAAAGTTAGGGTAAGTTATATTATATCTTGAGTCATTATAATATATTTTATGTATATTTTGATTCATCATATTTATTTTATACAAGTTATGTTTTATAAATTATTATAAACTATATTAATATTTCAGTTACGTGGATTATTTCTAAACCCTATTTGCTTAAAAGGAAACTATGGATATGTTTTGTTTTTTTTTAAAGAATATTTGATTATAACCTTATATATAATTATATTTTGTAAGTACCACTACGGGAGTCCCACACTTTGGGGGACTTAAATAACCATTGGCTTCTGTTTGGCCACTTTGTGGTCCTCTGTTTGTCATGGATCTATTGACCTTTGTTTTATGCAGAGTAAAGTACTGTGCGGAGATAAGTGCTACACTATTGTGGGAGCCACCTTTATAGTCTGTACAAGCCACCTCTTGAGTCCGTACCTCTATTCTGACTGTCACTCTTATGACCTCTGTTCTGTTCTGTTCGGCATCGTGATTATGGTTATTTATTTACATAATTTATATATTTCAGTGTATGCCATTTAAATGATTTGTTTACCAATTATTTATTTACCAAACTGAGTTATGTAAATGTTTTGGCCTAATTAACTATCCATGGTTATTTTGTGTCTCTTATACTCTTGGTATAATATTTCTCACTTTGTCAAGTGCTTATAGTTATTTATCAATTTTCAAGAAATAATGCAACTCAGAAATAGCTTTTGGAAAACCTTAGATGTGGGGCTGCGGAATAGACACACGCAACATTTTTATGATATTTTTATATGTAAATATCGGCCATTTTGGTCAATATATTTTGTAATAAAAATAGAAACTCCGATGATTATCTTGGTACCCTCATTTAAATATTACTTCCGTTCGCGTTTATTAATTTGTTTAAGAATTTGTCGGAGGTAACCTCAATTACTAGCCATCACGATACTTAACCCTTGGGTACAGGGAGCGGATCGTGACAAATGATATTAAAGCAATGGTTTATAAAAAAAAAAAAGAGTCATCATTGGAGCATAGGACACACGCACATTTAAGAAGTAGGATAGCGGGTAATTAGTACCTAAATATTATATTTTATTAGTTGATTTAATTATATTATAATTTTATATGATTATATATACTATTTTTTTTTTGTGTACATAATTTGCGAAGGATAATAGATATAATTTATATTTATTACAGAATTTTATATGATTATATATACTTTTTTTTTTTGTGTACATAATTTGCGAAGGATAATAGATATAATTTATATTTATTACAGAAAAAGAAAGAAAAGAAACAGAAGATGTCGGGCTCAAGCACCTACCAAAATTATAATATAATTAAATACATATAATTTTCAGTTCAGTATTCCAAAAAAAAAAATTTATTTCGACTTTTTAAAACTTGGTTCAAATTATAAGGATACTAATTTTGAAACTATTTTCCATTAATGAAAATTTCATCTCAAATTTTTTCAACTCCTACATATGATTCTGTCATTGTATTCTCATTTTATTTTATTTTATTTATTTATTTTTATCATAAATAAAACGATTTAAAAGTTTTTAAAGTCACAAATTGTTTTTCATTTTGGCTCAAAATAATAATAATAATAAATTTCATAGTAAAATAAATAATTAATTTTATGTTGGTATACGATAGAGTGCAATTTAATTAAGAATTAATTAATTTATATTTATATTAAAACATTTGGTAAAAATATAATTATCTTAAATATTTATTAAAAGATAAGTATAAATCTATAAATTAATAAAAGGATGAATGATTTGAGCCTCGCCACGTGTCGGCGAGAGAATGGTTTGTCCTCCCTATTAAAGGAGAAGCGGGTTCACCTGGGCCAGAGAAAAAGAAAGAAAAGGAAAAGAAAGAAAGAAAGAAATGAGAGACGGAAAGAAGAGCGAAAGAAATGATGAAAAAATAATGGAGGCTGAAAGGGTTTTTGGTAGTGAAAAGAAAGAGTAAGGTATTAAAGTTAAGGTGAGTGATATTATATCTTGAGTCACCATAATGTATTTTACGTATATTTTGACTTATTATATTTATTTTATATAAGTTATGCTTTATAAATTATTATAAACTATATTAATATTTCAGTTACGTGGACTATTTTCTAAACCCTATTTCCTTAAAAAGAAATCATGGATATGTTTGTTTTACTTTTAAAAAATATTTGATTATGACCTTATGTATAATTATGTTTTGTAAGTACCACCACGGGAGTCCCACGCCTTGGGGGACTTAAATAACCATTGATTTCTGTTTGGCCACTTTGTGGTCCTCTGTTTGTCATGGATCCATTGGCCCCTGTTCTATGCGGAGCAAAGTGTTGTGCGGAGATAAGTGTTACACTATTGTGGGAGTCACCTTTATAGTCTGTACGAGCCACTTATCAAAGCAATGGTTTATAAAAAAAAAAGAGTCATCATTGGAGCATAGGACACACGCACATTTAAGAAGTAGGATAGCGGGTAATTAGTACCTAAATATTATATTTTGTTAGTTGATTTAATTATATTATAATTTTATATGATTATATATACTTTTTTTTTTTGTGTACATAATTTGCGAAGGATAATAGATATAATTTATATTTATTACAGAAAAAGAAAGAAAAGAAACAGAAGATGTCGGGCTCAAGCACCTACCAAAATTATAATATAATTAAATACATATAATTTTCAGTTCAGTATTCCAAAAAAAAAAATTATTTCGACTTTTTAAAAGTTGGTTCAAATTATAAGGATACTAATTTTGAAACTATTTTCCATTAATGAAAAGTTCATCTCAAATTTTTTCAACTCCTGCATATGATTCTGTCATTGTATTCTCATTTTATTTTATTTTATTTATTTATTTTTATCATAAATAAAACAATTTAAAAGTTTTTAAAGTCACAAATTGTTTTTCATTTTGGCTCAAAATAATAATAATAATAGATGTCATAGTAAAATAAATAATTAATTTTATGTTGGTATACGATAGAGTGCAATTTAATTAAGAAT